ACTCAGACGTTTAAGGCGCGAGTCGACAGAGGTTAGGGGAGACCCCGTTGCCCTTGGTCGAGATAATCGTCACCGGCGTTGGTGGCTGCGAGCGCTGTGCCAGGCTAGGTTACCGCTGCGGTAGTGCGAGGTGGCGCCCTTGAAGAAGCGCGGGAGGGCGGCCTCGAGCAGCATGATGAAGTCCTCCAGCTCCTCGGTGACACCCACGAGGAGGTACTCGCTCAGAAGGTTCGTCTTGGCCTGCTCCAGGGCCCAGCGGTTACCCGGGTTCCTGGTCATCGGCACCGCTCGTCAGAGTCACGCTCGGCAGTGACACGCGGACAGGGGCCAGAGTGGAGCCGTCGCATCGTTTCGGTACTCGCAGCGTAATTGTCATCTCGTGATCGTCGTCATCATCGTTGTTGTCAGTGTCGTCATTGTCATCAACATCGTCATCATCGTCGTCGTTATCAGCATCGTCGTCGTCATCATCGTGATAATCGTCGTCATCATCGTCATCATCATTGTCTTCATCATCGTCATTATCGTCGTCATCATCATCATAGTCGTCATCGTTATCATAATGACTGTCATCGTCATCACCGTCATCATCGTAATCATCGCGGTTCGAATCCACGTTCCAGCGGCCGCACTGGTTAATCCTGCAGGTATTTAAACAAAAACAGTTGCGGAGCCGCAGCGCAACATCGCCCCACGCCCCTCCCACTCCACCCCTCCAAACAAGTAGCTACATATGTAGTAGCTACTACACAAGTAGCTACACAAGTAGCTACACAAGTAGTAGCTGAGATAGTGGGTGGACAACTCATTCTTATGGCAGGGACCCGTTTAAGCTGATGAGCAGTGCCTGATTATCCTAGTAGCAAAGGTAGCATATGCTACGGGCCCCGCACGTTCAAGGGCCCCGCGCTAAATGCTTTCAAGCTTTCAATTCCGGTTCAGTGATTCTGCCCTTGCTCTATTACTATAGTACTATACCGCCTTCAACGTTTATGTACGACTGGGTGTTTAAGGTTAGCGATTTGTCGCATTATCTGGCTGTATAGCAAATGAAAAAATACAATTACTTTACTATGCAAGTAAAAATAATTGTGTTTTAATATTAATGTTTATATTTAAAGCTTTCGTGACTGCAGGGGGATTCATCTGCTTGGTTCTTTTGGTAAAGTCACGTAGAAGGGAAGTAATAAAATAATAAAAATAAAACATAATAAAATAATTCTCACGACGTTTCAGACGCTGTCTCCCTGACAGACCTGTTCTTCGCCTGAGGACGGCTGCTTGCGTTGTGGCGGTAACATCGTGATAATTATTTTATCATGTTTTATTTTTATTATTTTATTACTTCCCTTCTACGTGACTTTACCGAAAGAACCAAAAATATCGTGATAATTATTTTATCATGTTTTATTTTTATTATTTTATTACTTCCCTTCTACGTGACTTTACCGAAAGAACCAAGAAGATTAATATTTATTTTTAAAACGTAGGGCCCCTTTATAACAACAAATGCTACAGGCCCCGCACTATTGGCGCTCAGAAGTTTGATGCTGGGGGGGTGGGGGGGGGTGGGGGGTGGTGGGGGGGGGGGGTTTCGTGCGTCGCGGCGCTCACCAGCACTCCGAGCTGTGGCCACAGAAGAAGGGGATCTGGAGCCAGAGCTTCTCCGCCGAGCAGTCGGAGCCGCCCTCGCGCACACACTCGTCGAACGTCTGCGGGAGGCGGAGGAGGAGGTGGAGAAGGTGGAGGAGGTGGAGGAGGAGGTGGAGGAGGTGGAGGTGGTAGAGGAGGAGGTAGAGGTGGAGTAAGAGGCGAAGGAGGATGTACAAGGCAGCAGCAGCAGCAACACCCAATCATCCCTCCCAGCGCGTCGCCACGGAAAAAAAAACGTGGAAGAAAAACGATGCATACGCATGGGTCCTTAGACGACCTGCCACGCGCATTCGTCCTAATAATTTGTTGTTTTGCTGTTGTTTGCGATAAGAAGCGTGGCCTTCCGAGCCCGCACAACGAGATGACCGCCACTCGTTACCCATTGATCGCTGGGTTAATTAAGTAATAAAAAAAATAATTAATTCATTATTTACAGAGGAATGAGGACATTTCCACCACCGCCGCAGTTCACCGCCGGTCACCTCGAGGACTACCGCTTGACCACGACGCGGGCTGGCAACCCCAGACTTTTAAAACCCACACGCGTCGCTCCCTCTCTTTCTCCATCTCACCTTCTTGTCGCCTTGCTTGCGCCGCCGCAGGCCCGGTCTGTAGTCGTCCCCGAAGCGCAGGAAGTAGTAGTAGGAGATGAGGCGCTCGATGGGATCGCGCACCACGTTGATGTAGATTGGCTTCCTGTTGACGCCGAACCTGCGGGCATGGACATCCGCAACCCACGGCACAAACACCGCGGTGCCGTGATTCAAGGCATCGTCGTCGTCACGATCATCGTGGGCAACGATTGCGTCACCACCATCATCATCATCATCCACAATCATCTTCACTCAGCTGCTTTCATTCATCCCTTAACACAACTCCTAGCTCTTCTCCCCGAGCCCATTCTGCTACTGCTTATAACCCCAATCACGACCCCTACCCCTGTCGCAACCCCAACCTCTATCACTACCCCGATTACTACCTCAACCTATATTACTACCCCTATCACTACCCCTATCACTACCCCTATCACTACCCCTATCACTACCCCTATAACTACCCCAACCTATATTATCACCCCTATCACTACCCCAACCCCTATCACTACCCCAACCCCTATCACTACTCCAACCCCTATCACTACCCCTATGACTACCCCTATCGCTACCCCTATCACTACCCCTATAACTACCTCAACCTATATTACTACCCCTATCACTACCCCAACCCCTATCACTACCCCAACCACTATCATTACTTCAACCCCTATCACTACCCCTATCACTACCTCAACCTATATTACTACCCCTATCACTACCCCTATCACTACCCCAACCCCTATCACAACCCTTATCACCACCCCTATCACTACCCCAACCCATATCACTACCCCTATCAACACCCCTATCACTACCCCTATCACTACCCCTATCACTACCTCAACCCCTATCACTACCCTTATCACTACCCCAACTCCTATCACTACCCCTATCACTACCCCAACTCCTATCACTCAAACACCCCAATGTACAGGACGACAGAGCTTGGGAAATCGCTGCCTTGCCGCTCTGCCTGCGGATTTCCCCACGGACACCGCGCGCGATTTCCCTTTTTTGATCATCCACCAACCTGCGCGAACGACGGACGCTCTTCAGCAAACGTGATGATCATCATGATGGTGGTGATGGCGGTGATGATTATGATGGTGGTGATGGTGGTGATGGTGGTGATGATTATGATGGTGGTGATGGTGATGATGATTATGATGGTGGTGATGATTATGATGGTGGTGATGGTGATGATGATTATGATGGTGGTGATGATTATGGTGGTGGTGATGGTGGTGATGATTATGATGGTGGTGATGGTGGTAATGATTATGATGGTGGTGATAGTGGTGATGATTATGGTGGTGGTAATGATTATGGTGGTGGTGGTGAGCATGCTGCTGATGTTGCTATTCCCGTGTGCGCTGTGAAGGAGTGGGAGAGTGGGGGAGAGGAGGAGGAGGGGGGGCGCAAGGGAGGAGAGATGATGAGCATGAGGAGCACGAGGAGTCTTGTACTCACTTGGTGAAGTCGATGAAGGACAGGTGGCCGTGGTAGAAGCCCGGCTTCATTTCCTTCCACGTCGTGACGTTGCTCACGAACTTGGCCTTGCGAGAGAGAACAACGCCGGTCACACCCCAGCCCCCACACAACGACAAAGATCCCCCGTATAGCCTCGACAGACTTGCGGGTAGCAAGCGTTGCTGGCGAGTAGCACATATTTGTAAGTCGACACGGCACACGAGCGGGTCTGGTAGTAGCTCCACGCCTGACCACCTTTGTCTCCCCAACGCTGATGTTTACACACCGCGCTAGCTACTCATGAAGAGGCCGAGTTAGTGCGCTTTTTGGCGTCATCTGGTCCAACACCATGTGAGACTAGGCTCTAAGGAAAGCTGTCTCGGGTGTGGACCAATCAACTTCAAGGACAGTGCATACATTATCAGAGTTGTGTTTTTTGTTTGCATTACGACTGCAGGTTTTGTGGTCTATGCAAACATGACTCCTTATAAAAAGGTGTCAGTTTTGTTGCCAGATAGAAGGGTTAAAAACAATTATCAGGCCGAATCGACGTAAGGGGAAGCATCAGGGTCGGGTTTAGGAACATCTCACCGATGTCAGCAGGGAACGTGGATCAAACTCGGCTCGCCAGCTTCGTGGCGTGGCGCGCTAACCACTGCGCCACTGCGCCCCCCACTTGCCCCACTGAGTTGTAACAGTGATCTGCCACGGCTGAGGTGTTTGTCCTACCGTGTTTCAGGTCAGCTTTATGTTCACGGATGCGGTCCGAGACATGTCGTTTGGTTTCCCAACTCAGTGGGCTCACATGATATTGACTTCTCCAAGACAGAGGTTCTCTGCAAGCCATCTGGCTATCATGAGAGATTCGTTCATGAGGCGATCCACATATACAAACACAGAGACAATTTTAACCGAGAAGATGGATTCTGGCTTAGCAATCATTGGAAGGACGTAATAAACCATTTCGATACACATTAGGGTGTGTAGAATAATACATAGTATTATATTAAAATGTATAAGGTATAGGTTGGTTTACAGCAATACAGTATATAATTTAATGTTGGGTTTATCTATGGCAGTATATAGTACGGTATATGCTCTTGTGATGTAAGAGAATAAAGTTTAGATGGAAGCATATTATACAATTTTTACGACGTAGAATTGTAATGTATTACTTGCTGTTAGTAACTCAGCTTATTGTAGAGTATAGTAAGTATACTGATGGTGCGATGCAGTTTATACTTTAGTTTTTTATGTAGTTTATACTTTAGTTTTCTACGTGGTTGTTGAGTAACTGCAGCTACATATAATTAACATTCCTTTCCTTTGTTACTGCAAATCCCTGCACCCCCCCTTGGTGCTGCTGATCCTGCATAATGCATGGGCATAATATGACTTTTAACCCCTCCCCGCCCAACGCCTACGCATTTTCCATGAATATGCTAAATTCCTCTTCATATGCACATTCTTTTTGTTAAGGCGCTCTTCCACCTCCAACGCAGCTTATATATAAGCTCCTAGTTTGGTAGTGTCTCATTCTTCACCTGAAGACGGCTGCTTGCATTGTAGCCGAAACGTCGTGAGAATTATTTTATTTTATTATGTTTTATTTTTATTATTTTATTACTTCCCTTCTACGTGACTTTACCGAAAGAACCAAGAAGATGAATCCCTGCAGTCACGAAAGCTTTAAATCGAAATTTTACCGAAAGAACCAAGAATATGAATCGCTGCAGTCACGAAAGCTTCAAATCGAAAATTAAGATTTAGTACCTTGGAAAAACAACACTTGTCTTTCCGGTTCGCGAAGCGAAAAGGTGGACGGTGGGCATGGACGCAGACAAACAATGTATCTGAACATCTAAATATATAATGGCAAATTTTTTTTGTTAAATATTATTAAAGGGTGTCATTAATTGTTAAGTTGTATCTCAGCACGCTGTGGAATTGTCACTCGCAGTTGTCGCGCCGGAAGTGCGGGGAATCACAGACAAGTCGGCAGGAAGGCAGCCGGAACCAACAATCGCCCAAGCTAACAATTGCACAAGCTAACAATCGCCCAAGCTAACAATTGCCCAAGCTAACAATTGCCCAAGCTAACAATTGCACAAGGCAATAATTAGCCAAGGAACAATTGCCCAAGCCAACACTTGCCCAAGCTAACAATAACCCAAGCTAACAATTTACCAAGCCAACTATTGTCCAAGCTAACAATTGTCCAAGCTAACAATCACTTAAACTAACCATTGCCCAAGCTAACAATTGCCCAAGCTAACAATCACTCAAGCCAACAATTATCCAAGCTAACAATTGCCCAAGCTAACAATTGCCCAAGCCAACAATTACCTAAGCCAACAATAACCCAAGCTAACAATTGCCCAAGCTAACAATAACTCAAACTAACAATTGCCCAAGCTAACAATCGCCCAAGCCAACAATAATCCAAGCTAACAATTGCCCAAGCTAACAATCGCCCAAGCCAACAATAATCCAAACTAACAATTGCCCAAGCTAACAATCGCCCAAGCCAACAATAGCCAAAGCTAACAATTGCCTAAGCTAACAATTACCTAAGCTAACAATTGCCCAATCCAACACTTGCCCAAGCTCTGCAGCCCTATATCGCGGCAGTTGCTATCTATATACGCACGCTGCGCATTAACACGAGGCAATTCATCTCTATTGGCTGAAGTGCACTTAGGGCCCTCTCCCACTATCCCAGAATATTCCCACGTGCCCAGGCACAAATGAGATGCCATCTCTAAATAGCCTTGGCTGGGGGACACTGGACGGGCGGGCGGACGGGTTACAGACAAACGCATTCTCACAGACCTCGCCCTATCCATATTAAGACGGCGTCCTACAACAATTCCCTAGGGGAGAATATTCTCCGCTATCCGAGCGCTCGCTCGCTCGCTCTCTCTCGCTCTCTCCCTCTCTGCTCGCTTCGTAGGAAATGAAAAATAATGTGAGGCGGAGTAAATTGTCTCGAGGTTGTCCGGGGATTTAAATGAACGATGCCGTACAAGGGTGTGAGTGTTTAAGGGAGCGTGAGAGGGACAGCAGTCCACCGAGGCGTGCCGAGCCCACCTGTTCCTCAAAATAAAACTAAAGCGATTTCACTTCACCAGGTAAAGTCCACTGAGTTGTTATCTCTTCCTCCCCCCCCCCATGAGGTGGCTGATGTAATCATGATCACGCGTGGTGATTTCTAGCAGCAGTCGAATAATCCAAGCGCATATTCTTGGGTCTTTCGGTAAAGTCACGTAGATAGGTTGAAAGAAAATTGAAAATTTGCTGAAGACGACCGCTTGTGTTGCGATCGAAACCTCGTAGTTTTTATTTTTATGTTTTGTTATTTATTTGAACCTATCTACGTGACTTCACCGAAAGACCCAAGAATACGAATTATTGCAGTCACGAAAGCTTTAAGTCAAGGTTGAATCCAAGCGAAGTTAGGTCATGTCCAGGTGGGCGATGAGTAGAGATGTCCCACTGGGCATCTGTGAACACCTGCTGGAAATCTGAGACAAAGAGCTTCATAGCTCATCGGATTCCTCCAGCATTAATACATATTTTGACTCTGATAGGTGTATGTACGAGTAATAGGGGTGAGCGTCAGGTGTAACACATTTACTTTAACACGTAGGCTTTCGCAACCATGACATTGTGGATATTATGGGTAAACATTGAGGTTTGGGGATTTGTAAGAAACATTTTTTTTGTTTTTTAGTCTTCTTGGTTCTTTCGGTAAAGTCACGTAGAATGGAAATAATAAAATTATAAAAATAAAACATAATAAAATAATTCTCACGATGTTTCGGCCACAACGCAAGCAGCCGTCCTCAGGTGGAGAACAGGTCTGTCGAGAAGACAGAGTCTGAATGACACACCCCAGGATAATTTGATTAATTCAGAATATCGCGAGCATTTCCTCGCATAAGTCCGCGTTGTTGTTTTCTTTCTCTGGAGCACAGACTCCAGCGGTGTACCATGTGGTTTCGTGGCTTGGGTTACATGGCCACATTTCTCACTGCTGTGGCTTTGTGTATTTAATTTTCTATTTGTAAAGGAGATGCGCGCCAGCGGCCTATTGATGTTCAAGATGCGGCCGATGGCTCCACCAACGGCGTCTTCGAGGAGGAGCAATGTCAAAGCGATGTTTGGGTCTCGAATGAGGAGTTTATTTCCGGACGTACGCGTTGTCCCACTCTGGTTCGCTGTGAGCGTCCTTCCGGATCGGGGTGAGACTCTAGTAAGGCGACAAAGCGATTCACAGAAGGGTAAATCGTGACTTGAGTCGGCAGCCAAGGTGCTTGTCATTGGCGAGAAAACCATGTGAACTCTGATAATTGTTTTTTTACCCTTCTATCTGGCAACAAAACTGACACCTTTTTACAAGGAGTCATGTTTGCATAGACCGCAATACCTGCAGTCATAATACAAACAAAAGAACATAACGCCTTTTTGCGTCATCTGGTCCAACCCATGTGAGACTAGGCTCTAAGGAAAGCTGTCTCGGGTGTGGACCAATCAACTTCAAGGACAGTGCACATTATCAGAGTTGTGTTTTTTTTTGTATTATGACTGCAGGTATTGCGGTCTATACAAACATGACTCCTTGTAAAATGGTGTCAGTTTTGTTGCCAGATAGAAGGGTAAAAAACAAAAAAAAAACAATTATCATATTTTTACTGGCAAATGAGGTTCCCACGTGTGAACTCTATTTGCAGTTTGCGCGACGTCTCCGCGGATATCTGGTGGCAGAATGTTCACCAGAACGGGGAGCCGAGGGGGCATTGGTGTCGGTGGCAAATGTTCTGGTTTCGATGCCACAGCGCGTTATTCAACGGGGCATCGCGCGGTTTTGTGACACTGCCACGGAGTCGTGAGAGGGTGGCAGCTCCCAGCACATCAGCTGATGCGTTCCTGTAACAAGGCGATTCTTACACCATTGGGACCTCCTTTGCCAGTACCAAAATATGATAATTGTTTTTTTACCCGTTTATCTGGCAACAAAACTGACACCATTTTTACAAGGAGTCATGTTTGCATTGACCACAATACCTGCGGTCGGAATGCAAACAAAAAACACAACTCTGATAATGTATGCACTGTCCTTGCAAAAAGACGCCAAAAGGCTTCTTTTTGCGTCATCTGGTCCAACACCATGTGAGACTGGGCTCTAAGAAAAGCTGTCTCGGGTGTGGACCAATCAATTTCAAGGACAGTGCATACATTATCAGAGTTGTGTTTTTTGTTTGCATTCCGACCGCAGGTATTGTGGTCAATGCAAACATGACTCCTTGTAAAAATGGTGTCAGTTTTGTTGCCAGATAAAAGGGTAAAAAACCAATGATCATATTTTGCTACTGGCAAAGGAGGTTCCAATGGTGTAAATACTTAACCCCGAGCTCTCAAACTCTGATGGTGCATTGTCTTTGAGTTGTGCGCCTTTTGGCGTCATCTGGTCCAACACCATGTGAGACTGGGCTCTAAGAAAAGCTGTCTCGGGTGTGGACCAATCAATTTCAAGGACAGTACATACATTATCAGAGTTGTGTTTTTTGTTTGCATTTCGACCGCAGATATTGTGGTCAATGCAAACATGACTCCTTGTAAAAAAGGCATCAGTTTTGTTGCCAGATAAAAGGGTAAAAAACCAATTATCAAGGCGATTCTTGATTTGGCTTTTTTCACAAGATCAGTGTTTTTTTTTGCATGGTGGGGCTTGAATGCCATGTTTCCTGTCCACGACCACCCCGATTTATCTTGGAGCGGGGGTCACAGCGCGCTGGGCTACCACAGAGTAACGCATCAAGGGTGGCATCTACCGCACGATTGTCCCGGGCGGAAAGCGCTTGTGGTGTTTTCGAGAGCACGTGGTCGCACTATCCAGCGACGGAAATAAGCCTCCGATAAAGTGAGATCAGCTGCCAAAGCATTTGGCAATGTTCTCGAGCTATTTGCCCCGTGCAGCGAGAGCTTTGTCATCTGCATTAGACGATGATGTACAGAGATGTAAGAGCACTTACATCGTAATTGTCTAGCGGCTGTGCTTATCGGCTTTAGGCCGTACGGCGCGCACATTCCTCCTCGTTCATAGGTAGCCACAAGCGCACGCAAAAGCGCGCCCGTGTGTGTGTGTGTCTGTGTGTGTCTGCGTGTGTTTGCGTGTGTGTGTGTCTGCGTGTGTGTGTGTCTGTGTGTGCGTGTGTTTGCATGTGTGTGTCTGTGTCTATGTGTGTGTGTGTCTGCGTGTGTGTGTCTGCGTTTGTGTGTCTGTGTCTACGTGTGTGTGTCTGCGTGTGTGTGTCTGCGTGTGTGTCTGCGTGGGTGTGTCTGAGTGTGTCTGCGTGTGTGTGTCTGTGTGTGTGTGTGTCTGTGTGTGTGTCTGCGTGTGTGTGTCTGCGTGTGTGTGTCTGCGTGTGTATGTGTTTGCGTGTGTGTCTGCGTGTGTGTGTGTGTTTGCGTGTGTGCGTGTGTCTCTGTGTGTGTGGGGAGCGGTAGTGTCGTGGTTAGCGCTATGCTGCGCTATAAACCCGGCGTCCCGAGTTTGATTCCCGCTCACGGCCAACACCAGCGACGATTATCTGAACCGGTCCCGGGCCTCCCGAAGGTCGACTCAGCCTCAAATTAGTACCCGGTGCGGTGCGTAAACATCGTCACTGGGGAGACAAAGGCGGCCGGACGTAGTTGCTGGCCACCAACCCCCTCGTGTGCCGTGCCTGCCTTCATAGGTGCTCGCTAACAGCACTTGCCCCAACAACCTATTAAGGCTACACGGGGGATATTTGTCGTTGTGTTGTTCAGCAGCGCGCGCGTGCAAACGCACACTCACCCAAACACGACGTTCGCCTTGATCACGAGGGTAGGATCATTGCGTTAATTCGGTGGAGTATTTCATATTCATCCGGTGCAATAAGGAAGCTCGGGGCTGATGGGCGTCTCGTTTGTTTTTTACGTTTCTCGCACCCGAGCCCCTCTCCCGCCTTCGCACCGGCGAGAATAAAAATTTGCTACATTCATTATTCATCGATTCCCAGGGCTGGGAAGGCATTGCCCCATTCCACCCGTTAATCAGCGGCAAATCACGATTGACACGTGTCCGCTCAGTGGACGCGTTGTCCAATGCCCTTCATGGTGCTCGCCTTGTGAGATGCACGAGAGGCTCTCGTTCAGTCGTTCATCGTTCGTTCGTTAGTTCGTTCATTCGTTCGTTTGATTTGCCGCGGCAAATTGAATTCAAACTGGGTGCGGAAAACCCGCGCACAGACGCACAAACGAGGCTTGATATTCGGTGAGGCTTTCCGGGGTGAACGAGTGTGATAATAATGATACTGGTGAGGTGGCCAGGTGGCTTTACTGACTACCTGGGTTCGAATCCAGGCAGCTGCTGCCTGTGATGAAGCCATATACTCGCATCGAGACCCATAGATTCACATAGAGACCCATACACTCACACAGAGACCCATCCACTTACAGAGACGGAGCTGGTATGAAATTGCCGATCATCAGATTACACCATGGGCGCTCAAGTGTAACGAGTTGATTTTGTCGATGCTTGGGCACCCATGACTGCACACAATATGACATTTAATTCGGCTCTGGAATTTATTTGCCAAAATTCAAATTAGCACGTAGGCTTTCGCGACCAATATTATTTATAATAAACGTTTTTGTGCTGAAGAGTGAATCCACTGTCAATGTTGTGGATTCACTCTTCAACACACCGGTGGGCTAAAGTAGTGAACTATTTGTCTTTTGTCAACGTGACACTTTTTTTTGGTTACGACACATTTATAAATAACGCGATCAAGCCCAAAAAGTTTATTATGGAAAATTCCAATTGTGAGAATTGAACGGCGGGTGTTGACTGTTACTCGACGAATCATTCCAGGGACGTCACTTTCGATGGTGCAGGGGGTGTGGACCAGGGGTCAAACGAAATAGATCTCACAAGTATCTCTGTGATATCCGCTTCCACGGGCCGTTTCCTAACACGAGATGCAATGTGAATCGTCCCTCTCGTGTCACGACACCGATGGCACGATCCGGATACACGTGGGAGGAAATGTTGTTTTGTTGAAACAGACACGCGCCACGCGCCACGCGCGCGTGTCCAAGATGGAGCGAGATCGATGTTCACTCACAAGGGGTGAACGCAGCGTGGCTCTGTGCTGTAACCGCATTACTGTGCGTGCCGATCCATAACCTCCACGTGCCCTTGAGAACCCCCATGCCTCTTGTAAGGCTCTTGGGCTAAGGCCTCCCTGCAGCTCAATAACGAGTGAATGCCAGACGAGGAGCGGTGGGATGGAGCTGCTGGATGTGCGGTGGATAAGGAAGAAAAAAAAAACAACCCGACCAACCGCGCCGAGCCCGGCTCGGCTCTGTTGCGGCAGTGGAAAAAAAAATAGGCATCGATGCTGCGCCGTGTGACCGGGTGTGCCACCTGGTCGTGCAGAGACATGATGGGGCTGTTGCGCGTGGTGTTGATGTGCAGCACGTGGAACGAGTTGCGCCCGCACAGGTCGTACGCCACGTTGGTGAAGGAAGTGCTGCCCGTTTTCGGCACGCGGTTGTACACGATCACCACGTCGTTGCTGTCGTCAGCAGGCGGCTGGACGGGTGCGGACGCCGCCGCGACTGCCGCAGGCCCCAGGGCCGCCTCGGGTTGCGTCGGCGGCAGGAGCAGCCGCTGCGGCTGCTGAAGCTGCCGATGTTCGGCGGCGAGTCGAGACTCGGAGCTCTGCGCCTCTCGCCGCGCGATCACGCGCTCTGCCGGCAGCACGCGAAAGAAAGACAACGGAGAGGCGATGATCCTCACGTGCAAAGTACACGACCGTGACTGCGCCTGCAGATCGCGTCCGTGAGACGCAGCAAGGGGGCCTCGTCTTCCTTCGCGACGATGGTTCTGAGCTAGGGGAACGAGAGAGCGAGTACTCAGGGCAGAGGTCGCAATCGGGTACCCGATACTCGTACCCTACCCGATACCCGGCTAGTGTTTGTGCGTGGACAGAATGTTTGGGGGGGCAAGCGCTGTTCGCGAGCGCCTATAACGACGACAACAACAACATCAACAACATCAACAACATCCGTCTAAGTCTGACAGAAGCGCACGCACGAATCTAGCCCGACTCGTCGCCCGGCTCTCACCATCACGGACACTCGAAATCATTCCGCGGACGCCCGGATTTCAGGAGCAGGAGCCTCTCCCAAAGGACCCCAACACCACCACCACCCCCACAGTTCCCCGCCCCATGCCCCTCACCGGATGGATGGTTGTAACGGCGAGCGTCACCGTGTAAGGTGAGCGCATAACCGCACTGCAGGCGATTTGGGAGGAGCCCCCCCCCCCCCCCCCCACACCGACCCCCTCAAGAGCCCTCCACGATGCAGAGACAAACCCGGCCCGAATCCCCGGCTTAAACCGTCGGCTGTGTTGACCGTGGTGTAATAAAAAAAAAATTTCTCCGTTAATGAACACCATCTCTCACATCGCGATTGTCTGCGAGAATATAGACACACACACAGAAAAAGACCACCCTCCCCCTGTATAGCCTCAGCAGGCTGTTGGGGCAAGTGCTGTTAGCGAACAGCGCCCATGAAGGCCGGCGCACGGGGCACGAGGTGGTGTGGTGGGTGGCGAGCACCACGCCCGACCGCCTTTGTCTCCCCAGTGGCGAGCTACCAAACATGAGGCTAAGTCGACCTCGGAGAGTCCCAGCAAACCAGTTCAGAACACCGCCGATGAATGTTGGCTGCGAGCGGGCATCGAACTCGGGTCACCGGGGGTCCGCGCCATCGAACTCTGACCCCGCGGGGCGCGTTCCTTCACGCGGCTGCCACTTTGAACGATCGCTTGACCGTGGTCCAGCATGCATCTTACTCACGGAGTACACCCAGGGGGGAGGTGGGGGTCATCGTGATGACCGTGTTGATAGAGTGGCGGTGACCGTGACCGGCTGGTTGAACTTATCCGACCTGTGCACCTGGAGGCCCATTGCACATTCAAATGCGAAGTTGCCCTGGACCATCACAATAACATAGCAACAGTTGCGAGAGGAATTATAGACTGTGAATGTTATGCACGTGTTGCGTGCGTGCTTGCAATAATTCATGCAGCGCCCCCTAATATGTTTCTGTAAATAAATAATAAAGGCTTTAAGGATTGACCGTTGCAGGCTACCAGTTCGTAATGCCACCGGCGAGTAATAAGCATTAACCTTACAACACCGACAATTTATTACGGGGCGGGAGTTGGGGGGGGGGGGGCAAAACAATCCATACTTCACCCATTAGGTCGCGGGATCAATGTTAGGGAAAGTGTTTCCTCGGTGTCGCATCCCCCCCTCCGAACGACGATCGATGCGGTGCGTCGCTTAATGGGCTCCGCTGCGCAATTGGGCTAATCACGGGCCGCGCGCGCCCGACAGAGCGAGAGAGCAAGAGAGAGAGAGCGAGAGAGAGATTCATAATTAAGCTGCCGCTCACCTGGATGCACGGCTCGCTAGACGCGCGTAATGCCATCGCGTGTCCAACCCGCGCTGGTTACTCCGAACCAGTGGTTCTTAACCTGGGGGGCACGGCACGCACACCCCTCTGGGGTTGTAGCGAGACGTGGCTATTTATATATATTTTATAATGTAAATAATTGAAAGCACAAATTAAGCCCGGGCACGTATGAACAACTACTTTGTTTCATAAAAACCCTACGTGTTGATTAAAATTTTCTACATTTTTTGTTTATGATTGAGAACCAAGGGGGGGGAGGGGGTGCAAGGCTGCAGAAGAAAGGCTACGAACCACCGCTCGGAATAATTCTGCGCGTTCGGTGTTAGAGCCGCGTTGACATTGCCCAGGACCTGGGGTCTCTCTGTCGTGTTTCACAGACTCGTGGAGTCTGCTGGCAGGGAGCCACGGGGGCGCCACGGTGGCGAGATGTTAACTACCACGCCTGGTATACAGGAGGTCGCGGGTTGTCGCCGTGGCCGCGTGGATGTTTTTTTTCCCTCTCCGCGTTTAGAAACGTGCGTTTAGCGCATTTGGCTGCAGCAAATTTCCACGTGACCATGAGCCACTTCGTTGAGCTATCATTTGCGGCCAGGTCGCTTATGAAAAAGAACTACACAGCGCAGAGGGGCCTTACCTGGTTAAAAACACTAATAGATAAAAGATAGAATTATAGTTTGTAGTTCTGCGCCTGTCTGCTCCGCCTGCCTTTTCCCTCTGCGTTCTCAAGTAGCCTCCCATCGCCAAACGCACGCGCAATGTAAGTGCCATTGGCCAACAAAACATCATCCCAATGCTCGAAACAATTACCCGCAGAGAAAAAAAACTAAATTGGGAGTGTACACAGCAGCAGCAACAGCAGCAACCACCACCACCATCACAACAACATCGCTCCCTTACCACAAAGCAAACACTTGCCAGACCACTCTGGAGAAAGAGTCTCTAGACTGGGCGAGCACCGTCTTGGGTAAACAAGCGGAATAACAAAAGCAAAAAAAATACATCTCACTCCGTAAGGCGATGCAAGGGGCCCGATGCCCCGAGCATTGATTGATGTTCGTCTGAGCTCTGGCAGGAGGCGCGCGCGCGCGTCCGTGCGTGCGCGTGCATTTATTTATTTATTTACTTCGTGTTTCGTTTAGTTTTTAACGAGAGGCTGAGTGACGGCACGCAGGGCGGGGCTGGCAGAGAGAGAGAGAAGGGAGGGGGGGGGGCTCTCTCACACGCGTTGTGTCGCCAGTACCCACCCCCCATCAAAAGAACCCACGAGAGCTTCACTAATAACAACAACAACAACGATAAGAGTCGAGTACTTTGTTTTTTTCGGTAAAGTCACGTAGGTAAAAAATAAAATAAATGAAAACAACTACATTAAATCAAAACGAGTGAATGCCAGACGAGGAGCGGTGGGATGGAGCTGCTGGGTGTGCGGTGGACAAGGAAAAAGAACAACCCGGCCAACTGCCGAGCCGCGCCGAGGCTGGCTCGGCTCTGTTGCGGCAGTGGAAAAAAGAGTCATCGGTGCTGCGCCGTGTGACCGGGTGGGTCTCTAAACAGCTCTCTTTATTGACCACAGTGATTTTGCTGTGGCGTGTTCCACCTGAAGATGGAGGCTTGTATTGCTTCCGAAACGTCGTGATTTAATGTAGTTGTTTCTGATAATTGGTTCTTTACCCTTCTATCTGGCAACAAAACTGACACCTTTTTGCAAGGAGTCATGTTTGCATAGACCGCAATACCTGCAGTCATAATACAAACAAAAGAACATAACTCTGATAATGTGCACTGTCCCTGAAGTTGATTGGTCCACACCCGAGACAGCTTTCCTTCGAGCCTAGTCTCATATGGGTTGGACCAGATGACGCCAAAAGGCGCACAACTCAAGGACAATGCACCATCAGAGTATGAGAGCTCGGGACAAGCATCTACACTATGGGGACCTCATTTGCCAGTAAAAATATGATAATTGGTTCTTTACCCTTCTATCTGGCAACAAAACTGACACCTTTTTGCAAGGAGTCATGTTTGCATAGACCGCAATACCTGCAGTCATAATACAAACAAAAGAACATAACTCTGATAATGTGCACTGTCCCTGAAGTTGATTGGTCCACACCCGAGACAGCTTTCCTTCGAGCCTAGTCTCATATGGGTTGGACCAGATGACGCCAAAAGGCGCACAACTCAAGGACAATGCACCATCAGAGTATGAGAGCTCGGGGCAAGCATCTACACTATGGGGACCTCATTTGCCAGTAAAAATATGATAATTGGTTCTTTACCCTTCTATCTGGCAACAAAACTGACACCTTTTTGCAAGGAGTCATGTTTGCATAGACCGCAATACCTGCAGTCATAATACAAACAAAAGAACATAACTCTGATAATGTGCACTGTCCCTGAAGTTGATTGGTCCACACCCGAGACAGCTTTCCTTCGAGCCTAGTCTCATATGGGTTGGACCAGATGACGCCAAAAGGCGCACAACTCAAGGACAATGCACCATCAGAGTATGAGAGCTCGGGGCAAGCATCTACACTATGGGGACCTCATTTGCCAGTAAAAATATGATAATTGGTTCTTTACCCTTCTATCTGGCAACAAAACTGACACCTTTTTGCAAGGAGTCATGTTTGCATAGACCGCAATACCTGCAGTCATAATACAAACAAAAGAACATAACTCTGATAATGTGCACTGTCCCTGAAGTTGATTGGTCCACACCCGAGACAGCTTTCCTTCGAGCCTAGTCTCATATGGGTTGGACCAGATGACGCCAAAAGGCGCACAACTCAAGGACAATGCACCATCAGAGTATGAGAGCTCGGGGCAAGCATCTACACTATGGGGACCTCATTTGCCAGTAAAAATATGATAATTGGTTCTTTACCCTTCTATCTGGCAACAAAACTGACACCTTTTTGCAAGGAGTCATGTTTGCATAGACCGCAATACCTGCAGTCATAATACAAACAAAAGAACATAACTCTGATAATGTGCACTGTCCCTGAAGTTGATTGGTCCACACCCGAGACAGCTTTCCTTCGAGCCTAGTCTCATATGGGTTGGACCAGATGACGCCAAAAGGCGCACAACTCAAGGACAATGCACCATCAGAGTATGAGAGCTCGGGGCAAGCATCTACACTATGGGGACCTCATTTGCCAGTAAAAATATGATAATTGGTTCTTTACCCTTCTATCTGGCAACAAAACTGACACCTTTTTGCAAGGAGTCATGTTTGCATAGACCGCAATACCTGCAGT